ATAAGTAATTATCAATGATTCTTAGTATGATATTTCTATAAGGGATTCGCGGTGCAATCCGTGTACAATATTGCCAGACGACAGATACGACCGTTTCAATAGATATATATGGTATCACTGTCCGCTTTCGTGCTCGAATTGCATTGCTGACAAGCCGTAACGGTATATCTACTGCCATCTGGCATCAGTCCTTCAACTACGAAAACTGCATTATCGACGCTTTTTAAGTTCGGAATCGTCTCCAGCTTAAGTAAAACTTAAACATATATCTATCTTTATCTTTCTTTCTATATAAATAAAGATAGACATATATTTAAGTGTCACTTAAGATCAAAATAACATTGGTGCAACCGGGCCTTAATGGGACAGATAAATCGGTCAAGACCGCGCCAGAGAGTTCTCTTCTCATTGTGCTCTTTTCCGCTTAAAGCTGGTGGCACATAGAAAAACTTAAACAGTAAAGCGTCTTCTACAATGGCAGTAGGAGTAGTAGTAAGAAATAAGCAGTAAGCAAATTGACCAATTCCATTCTCACGTTTCAAAAATAATCGATTGTGATTGGTCTATTTACTTACTGCTTATTTCTTACTACTACTCCTACTGCCATTGTAGAAGACGCTTTAAGCTGGTGGCACATAGAAAAACTTAAGCAGTAAGACGTAAGCAATAAGCAAATTGACCAATCACAGTCATTGATTCTTCTTACGGTTCAAAAATCAACGACTGTGATTGGTCAATTTGCTTACTTCTTACGTCTTACTGCTTAAGTTTTTCTGTGTGCCACGGCCCTAAGCGTCTGCAGGAGTCATACTAGAAACATCTGGCGAAGAGTCGCGAACTAAGCAAACGTAGAAAAGAAATTGTGGCCAAAATATAGAAAAAATGACTTCATAATTGCAATATTTTTAATCAGGATAAACGTCCGCAGGTCGGTACAGAGCGATTTTTGAGAAAAAAGATTGAAATAAATATCGAATAAATTATTTGAATAAATATTCGACACGGGTGCAGTATTGAGCTCACATTTTAATAATATGAATTTATAAGGGGCCAACTGCAAAATTGATCTCTGTACCGACCTCGATAATAATGTAAAGAGCAAATAAAAAATTATTTGATCGCCAAACGTAACGTCTGTAAAGCATACTTTCTATCCGTACAGATGTCAGGAAAGTGAAGCTGAGCTGCACTTTAGTGCTGTCAGCTCGACCCAACTTTCCCGTCATGCGTCGCGTGACAATGCACTTGTGTAGGGCGTATGTATGAACATACACCTATTCACAGGTGGCAATGCTTCGCGCTTTCGTCGCATGAGGTCTCCAAACGCAATTCAGGATTTGCTTACGACTCATATAGACCCTTAACTTCCTTCAACGCACACAATCCGTTGATAGTTGTGCGAAGGCTCTCTTCTACGCGATCGTCGTCCGCCGCGGACAGTCGGAGCAAACGTGCTTTTCGAACTGTAAGGGTCTTTGCACGAAGAAAAATTTTAACCGTAAGAAATCTGACCAATCAGAGTTGATTATTCTCCTTGCGTTCGAGGAATAATCAATTGGGAAATCCTCGGAGGCACGTTCCAAAAAATCATAGTTCTGATTGGCTTTCCTGTTTTCTGCTTTTCAGCAATGGCCTGAAAAGACGCATACAGCATTTGATTTATTTTACAGTAAAAAACTAAAAATACCTAATAACCTGATGTAAATTACAGTTTTAGACATGTAAAATACCTAATATTTTACATGTCTAAAACTGTAATTTACATCAAGTATTTTACTTGTTCAATCCTGGCCGTAGGTGGACGTAACGCGGGTGACACCAAACGCTAACTGGTGGATGCCGGTACCAACCGCGAATCTGCGGGATTGAGAATTCGCAGACGCGAGTTGAAGTGTCGCCGAGAGAGCGAGGGTTACGACGCCGAGAGGGAGCCGTGGACGTGCGAGAGGATGTTAGAAGGCGAGGACAACGAACGGTTGAGGACGAGCCATCCTTTCCTGGTAAGCCCACGTCCTAGATTCCTAAGGGTTTATCGAGGGTTGCGTTCTTTCATTCGCAACAGATGCAGCTGATGTCATGTTATCCTTCGATTTTACAGAATGTTAAACAATAGAATGACATCGGCTGCATCTCTTGCGAATAAAAGAACACAGCCGAGGTGTAAACCAAGCTCTCCAAAGGCCCGATTCTTAACAGTGTGCGAATGAGATACGCATGCGAAAATCTACAGTATATGTAACATGAACTATACATTTTCGTATCTCATTCGCATACCGTCAAGAATAAACTCCCAGGGTTATTAGCGCTATTCGTCTCGCATCGCGTTATAATATTGGCAAGTCGCAATAAATTCGCGCAACCGAAATTTTTGAATTTCAATTTCGCTTTATGCCGCGTAGTTTTCCACGTGATTTTTATGGGCTCCGCGACTCTCTTTCCTCGCACGTTGCATGCAGCAACGGTTCGTTGATAACTCGCTTATTTAGCATGGAGATGCGATAACAACAGCGCGCGTTATAACATTATCCGATGTCTCGCTAAGTTACCTGATCCGCGGCATGCATCATATAATAAGAATTTGCATCGATTTGTTACTGCCCCACTGCCATTTCGTCTTTCTGATAGTCTAGCTTTTTTCACGAGATAATTTTTCTCGTAATCTTTGCCATCTGTTCTTATAATCTTCAACTAAACAGAAGAAAAATAATACAGAACATGAAATTGAGAAAAAGTATTCTATATTAATAATTATAAAGTACATTATATATATATATATATATATATATATATATATATATATATATATACAGGGTGTTCAAAAAGTCCCGGACCGGTGAAATATCTCGAAAACTAAGCATTTTAGAAAAAAATGTTTCAGATAAAAGTTGTGGCGTTTAAAAAGATGTATTTACTGATCACATCAGTTTGACCTTGGGTTGCGTAGCGAAGGTCAGGTCAAGGTCACATTA